TTCGTACGCCAGTTTGCATGATGGGATGACGTTATAGCGCTCGTGGGAACCAACGTCGTTGCACTTCGTGGTTGACTGTATATTCAAATAACCGAGACACGCGGAAGTGGAAACGCGGCATAAAGTAAAGTCCTGCAGGTCCTGCAGGTCCCATAGCGTTTCGCAGGAGCTCTACGTTTCGCGAGAAATATCTGTACAGTCTTTCCTACGTAAAATAGAACTTTGTAACATAATTTTCTACACTATATGTAAAATATTATTGAAGCCTCATATGGCTATAGTGTATATGTTACATAAGTTACATAAGTACCCAAAAAAACAAAAAAACGTTCGGATACTCAAATCTGCAAAATCATCACACACAGATGACGCAAGCGAGATAAATTATTTGTATATGCTTATACGTGCATATAGGAAATGGAGGACCATGACGAATTGAATTTCCCAAGCATTTGACAATATTGATTGTTTTATAACGTGTCGTTGCCAAGAGCCATTATGCTTGTTTTTCACCCTCGAAATGTCCCTCGTTGGTCTTTGAAATGGCATTCTGGGATTTTCACCCTCTTCCGACCAAGCATCGATTATTATGTAAACTACGTCACTACTAACGACGACACGTTGCGTGTCGATGGATCGAATGAAATTCTTCGGGATCACGATTGGAGATCACGATTGGAGCTACAGGTGCAAGGCATTACGTGAAACAAGTCAAGAAACCTTTGTGGTTAAGGAACCCTCTCTGAAAGGGTATCGAATAACATGATTCTCATTCACGCGAGATACAGACGCACGGAAGCGATTGCACTTTTCGTAAAATCACTCTATAAATCTCAATGGGAAGGTTTAAAGACATTTAACTGTAAAGTGAAGTAGCATTAAGGGGTTGGTGTATTTTTTATTGCAAGAATATCAAAACCCCTCAACGTAGCCATTAACGTAGATTAAGAAATTTTACCGTACAAAAGTGGCACAATTTATGAAAACCACCCCACTCAAACTCCTACAGCCCTATTCTTAATCCGAACTACGATTGCCGTTTAATCCAATACTCCGAGGGTCGGTGAAGACGAAGTCTTCGAATAAAATGTATTTTACTGCTGAAAAAACGTTATTCGACTACTTACCCGCCTCGTCACATATAAAATCACGGAGATTCGAATATAAGGGGGGAATTGGGCTTATCAAGAATCCCAGAGCGACCCCTCTGTTTTACCTTCGAATTAAGCTGCTCGGGTGCGGCAAGAAAAAATGAAAAATCACCCAATCTAACGAGGCACGTATAATTCAAATGTTTTCAACGATCCTTCCACCCTTACTGAAATAACAAATCAGTGCCACGTCACTGCTTACCTCAGTCTTTGATTAATATTATTGGTAACACTATTAGCATTCGTTAAGTTAATATTACGTAACCAGATAAATATACCATATTGAATATACTTTATGAGCTTTTTTTTATTTTACATTTCCATATGGTATCTTGAACCTATAGTGTATCCTGTGTATGAACGTAAGGATCCATAACCAAGTGTCTCCAGACTATCGCAGGAGAATGCTTGCGCTATTGAACGAATCGTCTTCTTTTAAAAAAAGAACCACCGGTGGCGTCGACTGACTTTTCTTAACCGTCAGCCACTTTGAATATCAACACAGCTAGAGAAATAGCCTCTGGCGCGGAAAAGGGTGAGTAAACTTATACGGTCCTAGACGTCCTTTCTTATCAGTCTGGCTTGAATCTTCTGGAAGACCGGACCATTGACCAAGTCTTCTCGACATATAGTATCAGGGATATATACATATACAATATTGACCGACGCTTCGTTCAAACTTTGAAATTATTGCACGTAACAAAATCGTTCAAATCAATATCTCAGAGTGACGCGTCACGCCCAGCAAAATTTATGCTCAAACGTCTCGCTCGTATAACCATAGTCACGTGGCCTGACGAATATACCACGCGAGACTTCGGCGTCACGAAGAAGAAGCAGCCTACAGCGATTTTCATAGAAATTCCATGGCTGATGGTAATCATAGTGAAATTAAGGTCATCCATCACCCTCGGGCCATTCTATTCTGACTACCACTTAATAGTATTCTGCTGAGCGACGTAATTTTCATACCCAACCGTACCTATCCGCGGCACGTACACGACCTTCTCCTCGGAACGGATGAGAGTGCGAATCGAACGGACAGCCATATTATATGGAGTCGGCACGACCCGGATTTCGCATTTGGCGAACTTTATGCATTTGCACACTGCCCAAGCGGGATCGATACTAATTTCCTAATTTCGTGAAATCGCCCAAAACAGAAGTGATGAACATGTTTTTACTTTTTAACGATTGCGAATGATTTACAAACAAATATCGGAGAGCGCTGATCTGTTTGATTTTCGTCGATTATTAAGAACAAAGTAATGCGACTTAAGGTATATATACACACGCGCAGAACCCAATTACGATTTACAAAGGTATACGATCTCCTTGAATAGACAATTGCTACTCTGCGTTCGCGACTCCCTCAGCCTCCGGCTATTCGGTGAACGAAATGATTAAAGCCAGGAAACACTCTGACGGCGGAAAATTATTCTTTCGTCGATTAGTTTACCAGGCAAATGGAAAAAAAAAGTGTGACCGAAGCTTCGACGTTAATACCATTTAAAAAGAAAGGGTAAAAATAACAAAATTTTACTTAAAAAACTTGAATACAGATTGACGTGAGTTTCTTTATAACTAATAATATTACATCAGTATTAATATTCAAACGTGTTCTGTCATAATGGAACCAGCTGTCAGTACCCAGAACCACGTGTGACTATGGAAATGAATTGCATTTCGGTGAGATAAGCCGAAAACAAATCCACAAATTAACCGACAGAGCAAAGCGTTTCCGATGTTTGAAAAGCATGTAAATTTTTGGATTACACGGAATTTCATGTATCTACGGATATGTATATCTATAGGGACTTTCGAAAGTGTACTTGGTTTCGGCAGGACTGTCGAATTCTCATCCCTTATCTGAACTAGCTCTAAAGGTAAGCCTTAACCTTAATATTATAACACGGAAGCCTAGGAAGGTCCGTGGAGCATTTGGTATTACAATAGTCGAGGTTAGAGAGAACAAAGCTACATTTAATAATGCGTTAAAGTTACATAGCAAGACCGCTCATCTACCGAGTAAGCCACAGCCAGTTAGTTATAACTTATAAACTTAAATTATACTCAAACTTGTGGTAACAACTGTACCGAGCTGCGATGCCACCCTCTTCATATTTCCACATCAGTTATATAATAGTTTCCGTTTCTCTACTTGCGGTTTGCTCGTGTTGTGCGTGCAATGCGTTTACATTAGAGAACGATTAATTATTTCTATTTCGAAAAATGTTTAAACTGCCTTAACTCCATTTGGTGGAGTGATATACTTTTTTCGAAAAAATTGTAATCTTTGATTTTCTTATAGATTTATTCTTTTTGGGAATGATACGTGAAATTGTTTTTCCTCGAGGGATATTCGATTTTTTTTGGCCACCCCAGGCCATCCATCTCGTGAACAAGGAAGTCGAGGTAGAGACGAAAATGGATATCGGGACAGGAAGCACTGGTGGAAATAGTTAAGTATACGGGACTGCGTAAGCATAACAATAACTTTAACATTGCGGGGTTCCCTTTTCTCCCGTCTCTCTCTTACTCGGCTAACATGAAAACTTGAAGTGGTGCTTTACATTTTTCAAACGGCACCCCGTTGTGCTTTTAGGACGGGAACGAAGGCGCACCGAATATCCGCCGTATATAACGCTCTAAGAAATTTTCTCTCCTGTATGGGGTGCTCGTGAAATTAAGCCTACGTCTTTATTTTCCATATCTGAACGTTAATACTATGGTTCTTTTTTTTATGAATTTCAAGATTTTTGTTCAGTGCTTTTAATTTAATTTTTAACAAGAAAAGACTGACCAAAGTGACAAGCCTTGCTTTTTCTTTTTAAATTAAATGTATATAATCCAAAAATCCCTGGTAATCTCAAAAGTGCGAGAAGGTGTCGCCGTTATCCTACTACCACGCGCAAAAGTTTGCTTAGGGTGCAAAACACGGAGACTGCCATGGGTACGAAAAAGTATATTAATGAAAAGTGGAGTTATGTCCTCGTTGAGGCTTTGCGAAACGACGATTACCCCAGAGGGTACTCTTTGCCTGATACAATATACAGGGTAATAGGCCTAGAGGAACTGGGCTTGGATAACCTCGGACCATAATAACTTCACCGCAAAAAATATAGGATTAATTTTTGCAGGTAGACTCACTCGACTTTATGGAAGAATTAAATACCAAATGTTAATTGAATGCCGTAAAAAGACTGACAAGCGATATTTCCGCAAATTGAATTATAACATTTCGAAATTCTTCTAAAATTCCTCATACCCTTTCAGTGGCAAAAGTTTTTCTCGCTTCATACATAATTTTCGTTCCTAAAGAAAAACCGTAAGTTTTCTCTGTCCTAATAAAGAAAAATAACGCCATACGAGTGTGTCAATCTGTAAGTAGCGCATCTCGGCACTTAGACGATTTAGAGAAGAGGATGACGTGGAAAAATCATAAAAACTTTTTTACAACTCCTCAAAGACTCCCCAGCCGCAACAAGATTCCCCAATGCTGAATGGAAACCTGTCTTTCGAGACTTTTTCACCGAAAAACATCAATTTCTCTTTCTTTCAACGTGTTCAAGGGACCTAAATCGGCTTGTTTCAGATTTGTCCAGCGAGTATGACAGATTGAAATGACCATTGAGACGGATGGTCTCTAATCAAATTCAAATATACGAGAGGTTAAAGTTCAAAATTATGAATTGCTAGGCTCATAGATATAATCTCTTATTAAGGAATTGCCAATTCCACATAAAAATCGATGCCGGTCGCTATTGCAATTATAATTGAATATCATACGCAATTATAACTGCAGATCTACGTATAAAAGTAAGTACCGTGGAATTGCATAATACTTACGCAGTTCCGTTATGCCTCCCTATGGACAGCAGCCGATAAATCTGCAACTCCACTCGTTGTCCGACGTCCGGTATAAATTTGTAGGTACACTTAGTAGGACCCTCCAGGTATGGCGATTTTATTTGTCCAAATCCACGACCGGATTTGCTGAAGAGCTGCTTGCCGTCCAACGTAATATTGCACACTGCAAAAATTAATAAAATAATGATTAAAGTATGATGAATAAAAGAAAATCAGCTACAACACAAATGGTCGAGAAGATCTGTTCTAAATTCCTTAAAAATATTAATAAAGGAAAGAAAAGTGGAATAGGATGAAATTTAAGGTGTATAATTATTTTTCTCAAAAGCGCCAATAGGCTTGATACTATAAAAGTTTCACAGTGATTGGAAGACCGTGAGAGACTGAGAGTAGGTCATGAAGTGAAGAGTCAAAGAGATAGGACGGTATTATGCAGTTAAAGTTTAATTCATGATACGAAATTAGTTATCTTTAGTTGGTTTTCCACCGATCAGCCTCAGGCCATTTTTAAAAAGGATAAATGGTACCTGGTACCAACGTTGCTCTCGGTGTAATCAAACTGCGATTACCTTTGATTCACTGGACTTTTCTTGTCGCTTTTGGCAACCAACTTACTGGATATAATGACAAACATTCGCCACTAGTTCTTCCTTTTTGTCACTAAATTATATCACTGCTAATTTTTTATTTCCATTTTTATCAACTTTTTGAATATTTCATTTGCATCATCCCACTCCTCGTGTTACCAATTGCTGTTGTTGTAATTACAATCGAATATCGTAACGTGTACTTGTCCTAGGATATTGAAATTCAATATTACTTCATTTACCAAATTCAATATTACGTCAACACCAAACGGCGGTATGTAATTTTTGAAATAATGATAATAAAATTGAAAACATGTCATGGAATGTTATCCTCATTTCTATGAAAATTTTCGTTGCAATAGCAAGTGGTATGCGCTATTTTGTTCAGTTTTTATTTTCGAAAATTTTATGCCAACAATGCTTTCTACATAGTAGACGAATTATTAAAATAATTAACGCACATGACAAGCTTCCAAAAATTACCCATCAATTTTTCACTATCAAAATAGCTAGATTCAATTATTTAATAATTAATAATTTTGAAAAAGGGTAAAAATATAAATCATATTTCCAATACTTTCTTGATGTGCGATAGTACAGTATATCAATTTACGAACAGTTCATACATCTCTGTACAGTTACTATTTACACAGTGGCCCAATCCTCTTACGTGTGTTTGAGAAGATTATTGCCTTACCAGTAATGCCCATAAGTGCTCAGCTAAAGCTCGTTACATGCTTAATAATTGCCAATGCACTCGAGTTTCCCTTGTTGATTGAACTCAGAATAATCAAAACTATAGAACACGAGAGTCTTTAGAAATTGTATAACTGTTTTCCACGATACCTCACCCGCTATATAATTTTGATTGCCGCATTTCATCAAGGAAAAAATTAATTAATTATCAAAACGAAATATCCGTCTATTCTTTAAGTCTTTTTCATAGATATCTAATTTTCCTCAATTTTACAAGAAATAAAACACTATCTCAATTGTCATTACGTCATTAAGCTCATAAATAAATTGAATAATTGATTAATTGTCATTCTCCATTAGGATGCTTATCGGTATTGATATATTTAGTACCGTAGGGACAATTCCCCATATGCGTCCCATACTAATGGCCAACCCGCGCTGCATTGCTACCCCTAAGTAATCCTTTGATCGAAGTATCGAGTTAACTTACTGTTGGTGCAATGTTGATCCAAGCCACATTGGGCGCATCTGCTTGGCAAGGCTTCTCCGCAGCTGCAGCCACCCGACGGAACGCAGCAAGCGCAATCGTTGCTGGATGTGTTGAAATTGCAGGGACAACCCGTCGCACTTCGCGTCCACAGGTCCACTTGGCCTAGAACAGAAAAATAAACGGTTGAGTGTAAAATGGCAGACCTTGCTGTGGAAGAATCGTTGCAGGGGGGACAAAAAAAAAGTTCCGTACAAGAGCCGGCTGGAAGGACACACATTTGTTCTACCACCTCCTCTTGAATTCTACGCATATTGTCGAAGCGTGGTTAAATGTCAAGGAAACGTGTGTTTAATGAAGGCCGATGAAATTTTTCTAAAATACAAAAATCGTACTGCTCAACACTCGTGGAAAACGTAGTGAAAAAAAGTTATCAAAAGAATTCATTATTTTACGGTAAAAGGATTTGATATTCCTTTTAGTAGTATACTTTGTAAAAAGTATCTGTTTTTGTTCTCACAGTCATTCAGTGGAACAGATCATAATCGCGAATACAGTATAGTGGAAGGCGTCGGGACATTTCCACTTTCGGCACGTCAATGGAAGCTACTATCGAAATGGTTTTGCCCTGGAACCCGGTAGCCGGTCGCCTTTGTTTTCAGGTTTTGGCAGTGAAACCCAGCGCGTTTGTTTTCGACTGACGTTTCTGCCACGGTATTACGTTCGAAGCTTTTCGTTTTTACTATACCTTTTTTATCTTCGTTTCTCGGTCTATCTCGATTTCTCTTTCTCTCCCCTCCGACGCGCCTGCCAATCGAATCGCTTCATCATCCACAGCACTCTCTCTCTCTCTCGTTCTCTCTCGCACAGCCCCCGAGGCTTCGATAAATAGAAACACAATGGGAAAACGGGCGAGAGAATACGAAGGCCATCGGTCGATTGCTCATTGTTTTTCCACGCCGACCGGGAACTTCCGTTAAGCTTGACGGGCCGGGAGAGTCGAGAGAAAATCATTGCGAATGCCAGGGGGTAGTGCGAAGCTTTGAAACCGAAACGAGAAACAACGTGTCTGTCATACCCAGTTCGTAACTCCTAACTCCTTTTCAACGACTGCTGAAGATTCCAAAGAAACGGTCTTGGACTTTCAGGCAATATCCGGCAAGCGGTCGACGACTCGCATTCCGTAATCGTTAAATGGAGTTGTCTTATAGAACAATGGGAGCATTTGGGAAGTTTGCTCGATGGACCGTCCATCGGGTTTTCTGCTAAATTACCGTGGATTCGTGTAAGCTCGGCAACGCTCGGAAACAATCGAAGCTATTTTCAAGCTCGCCGGTTTGGACTCTCGAGAGGTTTGGCGGAGTTAGCGATTCCAAAATAATGGCTCTCGAAACGCCTTTGTTCTCCTGGGAGGTATCACAAGGGTACTTAGTTAGGTAAGGTAGATGGTATCTCCAACACAGCTATCTATCGTACTGTACATATACGTCGTATGGGGAAAAAAAGTTCTAGGGAATTTCGATTGACCCGCCATCTAGTGGATTTCTTAGCGTTAAACAAAAACACTAAAAGCTCTCGCGGTCTAATAGAGACTTCGGCTCGATTGTGCAAGCGCGGAGATACGTATACGTGATTGATTATCCGAACGGGGATATAAATTCCATTCTAGGGATAAAGAGAGCGTTAAGAAGAAAAGCTCCCCCCCCGTTATGTCAATATCTTAGGGAAATACGCGACGGCGCTTGTAATTTAACTTTAACTGGCTATGACCTTTAAATTTTTCAACCGATTTTCATTTCACTATGGCAAAACTAACATCAGATTCGTGATCAGAACGCGAAAATACATAGGATAAGGTATGTGAAAAGTCAAAAGTATCGTTCAAATCGCTTTTCCTGCTTTTCTAGGCTCCCATTACAGATAAAGACTAATCTAACGATTAGCCAAACCGAACGAATTTTATAAAATTTTCCCAGTCGCTTTACCGGTCGACATGCCATTCGCATCTCCATACATTTCGGGCGTTAAGAAGAAAAGCTTGCCACCCCCCGATATGTCAATATCTTGGGGAAATACGGGGCGGCGCTTGGCTCGAGGTAGTAAAAATAAAACAAGCTTTATTGCAGCCGTTTGCGCTGAGAATTTATTTCGAAAAAAAAAAGATCTCGAGAACGATCTCGTATCCTCGAAAGTGGCTTCGTCGGAGAGAGGGTTAAGCTTTAAGGGATGAAGTAATTTCAAGAGTAGCCCGACGCCTTGAGTATATACCGAAATTCAATTGTATATTTAATATATTGATTTTGACTTCGAGAAATGCTTCTTGAGCCGTAACGACGATGAAGATATCAAACCGGATAAAGAGTCCGGGGGGTAGCGCGCTAAAGAGAGCATGGGTGAGAAATAGAAGCGACGAAGGGTAGTCGAGCGAGACGAGTCAAAAGCAAACGCGGCGAAACGCACAAGGGGTTCAACGAAGAAAACAAAAGGAAGAAGAAGCTACTCGTTTCGCAATTTAAACTGCATCTCGGACGTTTCCATTTGCTACCCAACGCGTCCTCCGCTCTACTCTCGACTATTAAACTCCGTTTTCAAGCCCCTGCGATATTTCTAGAAGTCTTATTTACTCGGTACTTCTCTAGCGGCGTTCGGTAGCTACTCTCCAATTTTGTCCTTGCATCCGAATTCTCATCCTATCTACTGCATGCGACCACGATCGCATTGCATTACTCCGTATTACCATGGTAATAGACAAAATGGTGATCAGCCGTTTCAAAGGTCGTGCATTATCCCCTGATATTGGCTCGAAAGCCGAAACCGTCCACCACGTCGCTTGCTATGCCTCTGTAATTTCAGCCTCCAATTTCTGATCTAACCAATGTACGCACGATCTGTGTACGAAGATTTGATTCCATTGCATTTCTGTCTAGAATCGCATTAGAGCCAACTAACCTGTGCTAAATTAGTTTCTGGCAAAATTATGTTCGCGAAACGTGCATCGTTGGTTCTGAACCGAACCATCCCTATGCTATATATATATACGTATATAACCTCTTGATGAATTAATTAGTTAAATTTTTTTCTCATATGACGCTATGACTGCTCGCTCTAACGATATCTAACGATTAGCCAAACCACTCGAATTTTATAAAATTTTCCCAGTCCCCCCGTACCAGTTGACATGCCGTTCGCATCTCCATACATTTGCACTTTAATTGACTTCGCACTCTTCGAACGTCCCATCCGCCCTTTCCTAGCGTATATAAATATGTATAGCATACAGAACCGTGTGCAACGTCGGGTCGCTGGATGTAACGTAACAATTTTACCAGTCGGATATAGCCATAGAATAACTTTAAGCAGACCTTCGCTGGCGACGACATTTGAATCGTGTTACGTGTTAGGTTATGTAATTACATTTATTGAGAGACAATTAAGAGAATAATAGAGCAGCTGGAACTGTGATGTTATAAAGTTTATAAATCATTTTAAAGAATTTATTAATTTACTATTCGTATAAAAATTTGTTTTATTATAATTCTTATAGTTTATTTTATTATGAAAAAAGTTCTTACGACTTCACGAGTGTCACTACGTGTCATACTAATTGTCAGTCCAGAAGATGCGGTGACGATCAATTACCTCTATCAGCCGGATGCTGGGCTGGTCTCCATGGTTAGGTAGGACCTAGTTACTCCTCTTGCCCACGAACGGATGCTGGAGATGAGTTATCATAATCGGATTAGGTTAATCCCGAACATCCGTACAAACGCAAAGCCGATTTTGGTTCACAGGATCCTCGGGACGACTGGAAGGTTGACCACTTGGTCAAGAGTCCGTGGGTCCTTGGATTTAGCGAAGTAAACAGTATCGCTGGTATCAGGGGCTTATATCCTTAAAACCTTTTTTCCCTATAAGAGACTTATTGATCCAAGATCGAAATACCAAGAGAAGTAAAATATATTCGAATCGAAGATGATCCAAGCAAATGGTATCACAATTTGCCAAATAAACAAAATCATTGTATTCGTTTCAAAAAAAATTCTTTCCACATTACCCTTTACGTTTTCTCAACGATAAATTAATTTCTAGATTAGCTTTAGCGAAACTATCAAATATTGAACCGCTAGTGAGAATTTCACGTAGCTGCCGAACAGCTTAATTCCACTGAGATTCTCCAATATGTATAACTGAGCATTAATTAGTATTATCCTGTCCGGCTGGATACCAAGTTAACGCAGTGGCTATTTTATGTACAGTGAACTCTCGCACAGATACGAATTTTAGTGCACAATACGTTTTACGTAGCATTGTGGTAGACGTGATTTTTTATTTATAAAAAAGAAGGGGAGAAATAAAGTAGAATAAAATGGCCGGTCACGGATCTGTTGGATTAAACACAAAATCGTGCCCCACATTGCTCATACTCTCTGCGCACGTATACGGCTTCCGGCCGAAGCAGTTATAAATATGAATACTTGCTGCTTTCATGCCGGTAACAGGCGATACAGCCGTATCCATAAATTCGGTCATAAAAGATAAACCGCGTGGGACCCATGTGACCCTCGGCTGTTCGAGAGAGAATTTTCGCGATGCTTCATATGCTAAACACGCCTTAACATCCCTGGATATCGATGTATCATAGACGCCGGTACGGAAACCCGATAAATACCTATAGAAATCTCTCTTGGATAGCAAATCAAACCAGGTTATGTTCCTGGCCATAAATGCGTCTAGGAGTTACAGGACACTTTCCAGAAGCACCGCTTCGCGCTAGCGAAGATGTAATAGGAAATCAGTGATGTTGCTTGTCGCGAAGTTACTTGAGGTGCTGTTTATTTTTTTAACGCGAAAAAAACATCTGATTTTGACTGATTCTTGAAATTTAAAAAAAAAACATCTTTGTTACCGTGGTGTTCAAGCGTGAATACTTTAGCACGGTAATGTTTTATAATTTTGTGCAAAGGCGTAAAGTCGACCGTAGTCGTAGCGGCAAGTTTTACTTGTCCTTTTCTTATTGTCCTTGTCCCGTCGGCTATTTTTCCTCCTTTCTTCTGGAACTACCCTTACAACTCTCTGGCGCTCTCTTAAGTCAGACCCGTTGCATTGTAACCCGTTTCGCTTGTGTTTCCGGGCGAACTTTCCCGACGCCCGTGTTTACCGGCGTA